CACACACACACACACACACACACACACACACACACACACACACACACACACACACTCACGCACGCACGCGCGCGCACATGTCACGAGTACGCGTTATACTCGTAGGCGCACGCGCGCACTGACGCAGGCACAAACGCACACGCACGCGCTGACGCAGGCACAAACGCACACGCACGCGCTGACGCAGGCACAAACGCACACGCACGCGCTGACGCAGGCACAAACGCACACGCACGCGCTGACGCAGGAACAAACGCGCACGCACGCGCACATATAAACCGCGCATGTATTCCGAATCAACTAGCTGGTGTATAATGCCGCTTTACGCTTGCCTCGCTAACTATTAGTTATATATAACAAACTATTCACGACGCACCTTCTTTTAATCTACAAACACAATAATGAAAATGTATTTTAACTGCAAATGTAGCTCTGTCGTTTCTTGAGTTTCTAGCATGTCGAATCGTCGATGCTGTTTCACTAATGGCGCCCCCCGTCCACGATGATCAACATGCTATTACAAGATGCATGCTTCTTGTCTCCTCTGCGTCTTCTTCCACGACGCTCTGACCGCCACGACTACATTGAAGCTTGCGACAGTGCTGGTTCTAGTCATGCTTATAGCTCTGTGAGACAAAGGTTCCGTTTAAAATATCAATTATATTGTAAGGTATATTAAAAAATTGCATTTACAAATGATAAAATATGTGAAACGTATAAACAGTGTGTGACGAAATGATTTTCATTATTTTTACCTCACTGACTCTTAGAAGCTCTGAAAATTTAGCGCAGAATAACCACGCTTAATATAATTTGTAGGTGAAGACTAAAGATGTTAAAATATTTTCAGATGAGAACCCGAAACTGTCATATTAATGAGAAAAAGAGACTCAGTTCAGTTGCTATCGATTATCAGCAGCTGCATACAACACGGCGGGAAATAAATATGACTATGATAGCTCTAATGTATATTACCGCGGCGAGTGCAGCATATTGGAAAGGTGGTGGCTGTTATTAGACTAAGTCGCTATCTGTGAAGGAAAAGTCTGCATGTTCTCTCCTAATGAAAGTGTCAATGACCCTGTAGCTCACCTTGGGTGTGATAGAAGAGGGAGGGGAGATATATAAAGCAAGAGTATATATGGGAGAACTCCCATTATATAGCATATCTCCCATTATATACTCTTGATAATGACATATGCATAAGTTTTGTTGCGAAAATAAATGTTTCAGATCTGAACGTCTGAAATCTTGACGAGAGATGGCGCTACGCCTAAATGATCGCCATTTTGGTTTTCGAATATCGCGCAAATAAAAACAATAAAATATTCCAGTCAAATTACTGTAACGAAGAATCTAAAACACAATATTACACGTATATAGGTATGATTGTAGAGTTGTTGACCAGTTAGACGAAATAAACGTAATAGGACGTTGTCATCTCTCCCATAGGAGTCGACACCGACCCACGACGACACCCCATGGCAATAGCTCATCTTGACGATGTCAAGGCGAGCTAAAAATGTTGAAATATTACAGATCATGGTCAGAGTGGCAATTACGGGGTCTCCGAGTTTTTCCGGTCGTACGGTCCGGGTCTCCGGGTACGTGTGTGATTCCATGCTCGTGCGCCATGAATCCGTCGGTGCGCATAATATAGCGATGTTTCATGTTTATAGACATTGACGTCATATGCGCACATGCGCACATGCGCAGCTTGACGGTTGGCAGCAAGCAGATGCGTGATATTGTTCGATACAAGCACACGCACGCACGCACGTGTACGTGCACACACACGCACACACGCACGCATGCACGCACGTTTACGTACACACGCACGCACGCATGCATGCACACAGGTGTACGTGCACACGCACGCACGCACGTCTACGTGCACATGCATGCATGCACGCACGCACGTGTACCTGTACACACACGCACGTACGCACCAACGCACTCATGCACACACGTGTACCTGCACACACGCACGCACGTACACACACACGCATGCACGCACGTGTACGTGCACACGCACGCACATACGCACGCACGTGTACGTGCACACGCACGCACGCACGTGTACGTGCACTCGAACGCACGAACGTGTACGTGCACACGCACGCACGCGTACGTGCACACGAACGCACGCGTACGTGCACACGAACGCACGAACGTGTACAAGCACACGCACGCACGCACGCACGCAC